CTGGCTTGGTTCCGGAGGTAAGTACAGATTCACTGTCAAATTGACCTCTTCAAACTTCACTCTCGTGTCCCCTTGAATTGAGACACTGATGGAAAGCCACTTCTTTCCTGACGTCAGAATTTGTGGGCATTAATAAGCTTACGGCCATGATCTTAGCACCGGATCGATCAAGGTGGCCGTTCTGGCGAAAGAGACTTTCGTCAACCTTAAGCCCTCTCCTTCTCAATGCTATCAGCCTAGCAGATCCTTCTTACCCTTTCTGCCAAACATCAGACTACACTACGTTTCAAATTTGGCGGTAGGAATCTCCCAAAAGTGGTCGTCCTATTACGGCAGGCGCTACGTCGAATACTGCCGTCAGGCCTTCTACACAGAAGTACTTATAGAAAGAGAAGCGAACGGGGTTGTTATTAATCCAGCGTGAAGGTGATTGATGTAGGAGCCAGATTGATATCATCTAGTAAAAGAGTTGCGAAAATTCCCATAATAGTAATCAGGAGACGAGGTGGCGAGCATACGTAGCTTTCAATAAATTCTCCACAGGCCAGTGCAGTTATATAGGAACGGGGTGGAATTAAAACATGTCAGCGATAAAAGAAATCGATAAAAGTTCGCCTTAAAACATAGAGGAGGTGGGGGGGGGGGGGGGGGGGGGGGGGGGGGGGTAATAGCAGTCAGTGTCAGGGGCGGGGTGAGAGCGGAAGGGTGTGGAGAGTTGCAGCGTTAGTCGACCTTCGACCACTGTAAGCGCGGAGCCTGAACATTGTTCTTCTGGACGCATAAGATTGGCTTTCGTAACCTAATGGCGGCCGCTTCTGCTGTCGCTAACAAGCTCCTGCATAGTGGCTTGATGGGACCTTATAACTCAGACGAAAAGCTTACTTGGGTTCCACACGATGGCCGGCGTCGACAACATGCGCGAGAATGGCGCTGCTTATGCTCCTCGTTTCGCCTTTTCCCAGCCATGCGGGGTGGTGTTCCCGTAGTCTCTTGGATAAGCGCCGACTCGTGCGACCAATATAACCTGCTCTACAGGAACAAGTCAAGGAATAGATGCAAATTGAGGTGGTCTGCGGTGGCAATTTATTCTTACCTTCTCCGTGTAAAAGAGGGTTAGTAGAGAATGATATTTGAACCCTTTCTTCTTGGAAGGTTTACGAGACAGTTTGATCAAGGCGTCTCCTAAGGAGTTCACTCGCAGCGTCCCCTTGGAAAGGGACTTTGAGGAACAACGTTTTCTTTTCGGCGGTTGGTGTGGCGGGTTTGACCGGTCTGTCGGCAATGTTCTTTGCAATAATCTAGTCAGCATACTCGTGTACGGGAAGGAAGTCCTGGATTTTTCTGAGCTACTCCTCGATGCTATCTGTTGAGCAAATTTTTCTAGCTCTTTGTGCCAAACGTCGGACTAGATTTCGTTTTTCTTGGAGGGGTACGAAACTGGCGAAGTTCGTGTATTGTCCAGACCAGGATTTCTTCCCCCACATTCCCACACACCATCTGTGTTTTAAGGAGAACTTTTATCGATTTCTCTTATCGCTGACATGTTTTACTTCTAATCCGTTCCCATATAACTGTACTTACCTGACGAGAATTTATCGAAAACTACGTGTGCTCGCCACCTCGTCATCTAATAAAACTGAGGCGTCGTTTTGTTCCTGCGCGATCGCGAATATATCATCCACGTATCACCCATAGTATCTAAGACCTTTGATCTGATGACGAAGCTGAAAAGCTTTTGGCTTGTCCATGAATATATGTGTCATAATCGTGCCAAGCCGGTGAGCCCGCATCTACACTGTCCACCTGTATATACAGATTGTTCTCAAATAGGAATTGCAAGCTCAAGGCACACCCCAATAACAATTTCTTGAGGGCATCCACCAGCATTCCTATGTCCTACTGAGTAGAAACAATGAAATCATAGAGGTAGCTGGGCATATCTGTGACTGGTACGCTCATAAAAAAAACGAGACATCTAACGAAAACAGAACACTTCCGACAAGATCGAGGTCGTTCGCACCGTTAACGAATTCAAAGGCATTACGGCAGCCGTGTGGCGCTAACCGATACTGCCGGAGCCTGGGTTTCTTCGCTAGCCATTCTGCTATCGCATGACACTTCAGGTTCCTCATATCGAGGATCGGAGGAATCATTGTGTTATCATTGTGGATCGCCAGCAATTCGTATAACCCAGGTATAGGCCTGAGGACGAGTCGGGGACGCTCTAATTCGTGTTCGCGTAGGAAACCATTCGCTCGAATTCTTTTCAATCAGTCAGTCTGTCGTTTGCTCGATGCTTCTCCTGTCCTGTCTTTCGGAACTTTTTCTGGTCCGACAGGATTGACTGTATTTATGCGACTTCGTTAGTAGGCCTCGACATTTCTGGCCACTGTTCAGGTATTGATAGGAGTTATTGACTACCTTTGACTTTAGGTGTTTCACGCTCGCTGCCGAAAGTGGTTGAAGGCCATGTGTTTGATTTATGAGGTTGTCGAACTGTGTCTTTATTTCTACCTTGCAGGGTTACTGGTGGGGACGGTAAAAATTAGGAACAGGTGATAAAATTTCCATCGAGGTTTTATCGAGAGAGATATCTACATACGAATAATTGTAAACGTACTGATTTGATTCTTCAGGAATCTTCCATTGTGGTCTGCCTTCGTGTACACTCCGCAAATCAGAAGCAATCTCCATTTGCCCACGAATTTCCGCCATGGAATATGCATACGTCTTGAAATCCTGTCTCTCTTCCTCATCGAGCTGGTTAGCTATTACCGCTCGTTGGCACATATGACGCCCTACTTTCTCCGCCTTTTTATCGGTGCTCTCAAGTTTATTTCTGATATATCCTCCTGAATTATCAAAGGTGATAACCGAACGATTCCGTCTCATTATTCTCCAGTAGAAAGTAGGATACTCGTCTCAGTCGAGGCATTCCCCAATAAGCCTTGCTCGTACTTTCGCCTCAACGACCTTGGTTTTGAAACGAAGGTATCAATTGAGAGTGTTTAATACCAAGGTTTGCATTCGATTAATTCTCTTCAGACCTGATTAATAAGCAAATTCGAGCAAGTAGAACTTATTCTGTGGCTGGAGTTCGGCGTGGGATGGGTGAGGGAAATGGTAGGCAATGGGATGGGCAATTATAGGCGAGTTTCTGACATAGTGGCTTTAGCCCACGGTAACTGTGGGGTCTGTGCGAAGTTTTTCCTTGTTCGTAGGACTGGTGTGCGTATCCTGATTGCAGCCGCCTCTGCCGTTGCCAACAGACGCTGTCCAAGTGATTTTTGTTGGCTTGACGGAACCTTGTCTTAGAAAATATCTAAAAACCATTTGGCTAGCATATATCTGCTTCCGATTAATTCTCTTCAAACCTATGCATTTATATTGATACTGAAATACTCAATGAAAGAAGGGTGCGGGCAAATGGATGATTAAGTTGTAGCTCGGGTTTGAGTGAGGAGGCAAGTGAATCACCAAAAATGCACTAAGCGTCAGGCGGCGCATGATGCACACCAGGAAAGGCAATTATATGCGGGTTGGTGGCTTGACGGCTTTGGCCATGGAAACTGTGGAAACTGCATGAACTAGCTATGTGCACACACGTCAGGTTCGTGCAGTGTAACTGCAGTGGCCCTTACCGCAGCCAACAGATGCAGCCCAAGTATGTTTGGGTGGCCTAGTGCAACCTTGCCAATCACTCAGGGGGCTTCATTAGTCTGAGGAGAAATTGTCGAATACAGACGTGTACTCACCAAATTGTCATTTGAATTCTAAAAATTGTCAATTTCAAAATTGCGTGGAATAGCCATTTGCGAAAGCACCAGTGATGAACTGGAGATTTGTTGGTCGCAGTAGGCTTTTGTGCTTCCGAAGGCCTGCATCGCACTGGGAAAGAGAAAATATGCCATATTCCCAGAGTGACAGACGCAGACCAGTTAGCGTGATTTAAGCATTCTACCAGGATCAAAGCAGATATTGGTAGAAGGCATATCTGATAATCCACTTTCCACACACGAGCATGTTTGCCTAGTTGTCTGTCTTGCAAACCGGTGATGGACTCGGGGATAGACTCGAATGCTTGAACTAGCACACGACCATTCCTGCTGTCCTACCTATCCTCCTCAAATTCGCTAGTTTCTGATTGTATTAATTATGCAAGCAAACACCCTTTACAACCCAACTCATTCTTATGTGCGGAAACCCACTGCGACTCAAATAGTAGGGTCGAATGTCAAGTTTAGAATTCCTACATAACAAACAAATTGGTGTAATTTGAGGCAGTATTTTGAATTGGGGGAGGGGGTAAATTCACACAGGAGGTTCTGTTTTGCGTTCATCAGCAAGCTCTAACTGAGACCGATGTGTATTAGGAATTTCAGTCACCAGTTCAGTGCTCA